ATACTTTAATACAATGTAATATAATATAATAGATTGAAATATATCATCGGGTGATATAATATTATATGGGATACTATAATATAATATTACATGACGCATTACAATACAATATATCATGATACATTTTAATATGCAATACAACCTATAATTTATACATCACAATAATATAGTATAATATAACTTATAACATAATATAACAATATAATACACATTATGCTAGATATATGATGGTATGTGACAACATTTGTATAGTATGAAGCAATATGGTATAATAAGCTGTAACAATGTACATCTCATACATACACATATCATATATATATATACACACCCACCCCCTGCCCGGCGGCGGGCGGCGCCTTTGCCCTTCAAGAAGTCGAGGCCGCGGCGGCAGGCAGGAGCCCCCCTTCGTCAATCTTCCTCCTCCTCCCCCACCTTTTGTTCCGCTTCGCCCCCATCCTCATCCTCCTCCTCTTCGTCTCCCCGCTCTCTCCTTCTTCAACTCCCCTTCCTCTCCCAATCCTTCTCCTCCTCTTGTCCTCCTCCCCCTCCCTCTCCTCCTCCTCGTCCTCGCCCTCGTCCTCCGCCTCCTCCTGTTCCTCCTCTTCTTCGTCGTGATGTTGTTTTCTCGTATCTGATTTCGGCGTTGATCCCTTTGATGTCGTTGCTGCGCCCCCCTGCCCAAAGTCCGCCGGCTGGGTGCCCCGTCTCTGCCGGGCTGTTCTGAAGGGCCCCCGAAGGAAAAGGGGCAGGAGGGAGGGGGGGGAGGAGGAGGGAGGAGGAGGAGGAGGAGGAGGAAAAGGGAGGAGAGGGAGGAGGAAGGGGGAGGAGAAGCAGGAGCAGGAGGAGGAGGAGGAGGAGCAGCAGGAGGAGGAGGAGTGGTGGGAGGAGGGAGGCGGAGGAGAAGGATGAGGAGGAGGAAAAGGAGAAGGAATAGGGGGGGGAGGGGGAGGAGAAGGAAAAGGGGGAGGAGCAGGAGGAGGCGAGGGAGGAACGTCTTCCTTCTTCGCCAGTGCCGCTGCGATGCACTGAGACTTTCAGCATCGCTGGTCTACTCGCTTGACAACCCCTGCTACACTACTCGCTTGCCTACCCCTGCTGCATTCCTGAACCGCAATTTCACTGCTACACCCTAGCTATACATAAGAACCCATAGCCTAAAGACCGAGAATGTTTGTCACCTCGTCCTCGTTGATGGTTTCTTCGGGCGTAGTGCTGACTTCCTCGGAAACTTCTGGGTCGCTTCTCGGCCAGAAAGTCATGACTGCTATCAGGACGGCACAGAAACATAATGCATGAACGCTGTTGCCTGCAAGGTCTTTCATCAGCGCGTCGCTGATGCCTGCATCCTTCAACTTGTGTATCTCCAATGAGTCGATCGGCCAGCCCTGCACCGAAAGGCTTTCGAGGCCACTGAGAATCCTGTTGAACTGCTGCTCCCTGCCTTTTTCATCGCCGCCACGAGGGAGCATGTAGATTTTGCCGCGGGGGGTAATGGTCGGCAACACTCCATCCTTGCCCCGTCCACACCATGCAATGGTTTGGCTGACGTCCACGCTACAAGCCTCGGGACGCATTATCGTCTCATAAGCAAGTGCCATCCGCTCACGTTCACACATCGAATGGAACCACGGGCTAGAAGCAATCTCAGGCGAAGGCCGGCACTGGCTGACCACCATCCCGACCTTCTGACATGCATCCGCCAATTTCTCCCTCCAGTCCTGCTTGGAATCGTTGCTGCTGCTGCTCTGCGAATCCTTTGATTGGAGGTGCTCCAGCTGGATCTTTAAGTACTCGTGGCCTGGCATGAGAAGGAAATCTTTCAATGCGAATGGTCCGATCTGAAGCTTCTCCACAAGCTGCTTCATTGATCTCAGAACAGCTTGGGCCTCGTGCGGCGCCAACCCGCTGCGCTGGCAGGACAAGCCCAAGATGAAGGCGCGCGTCCTGGTGGTCGCCGCGCCATAGTTGAGTGCGTCCAGCTTCATAGTCTCGCATGCGAATCCGACGCTGGCCAACTTGTCCACCATGCACTGATAATTGTCCGAGGACCCCCTGCGCATCTCATCGACGTTCTCACCGAGCCACATTTTCACAGGGTGGGTCGCCAAGAACTCAATCAATGCCTCGAACGTGGCGGCAGAGCTGCCTCCGCTCCCTCCCTGCTTCAGGATGCCAGATTTCTTTGGCTTCGATGAGTTTAATTTGCTGAGCTCCTTGCAACTGCAGGCGCACGCAACGATGAAATTGTTCAGGTGGTCTGGGACAGTCTTGCACATCTTGGCATCGCCATCACCAGACTTGTGAACGGCGCACTTCGCCGACGCCTTTGCCATGTCCACGATGTCACTGAATGTGCGCGGCATCTCTGCTGCATCTTTGAAGACGAAATTCTGAATCCAGGCCCTCTTGTTCGGGGCATTGTCGCACGCAGTGCAGGTAACATAAGTGGTGGACCCATCCACAGTGGAGAGCAATCTGTCGCCTACGACGTGCTGAATCTCGGAGCCAGAGCAAAGCGAGACTACTGACAACTTACGATCGGGCAACGCCGCCAGGGTCTCTTTGAGCTTGGTCATCTCGCCACTGGACAGTTTACTGAGCATGGCCTGCATAGCCTTGTCCAGCTGGCTCCCGGGTGGCTTGGGCCTCTTGGCTGGAGGTGCGCCGCAAGCTGCTGGCCGCTTTAAGGCAGCCTGATCGCTCATGCCCGCAAGTCTCACTGGGACGCTGGCAGTTTGCGTTGCGGCAGGGGCCGAGGTGCCTTACCTGAAAGTTCGAGCCAAGACAGGCGACGGCAGCGATGGCGATGATGCGGATGCGATGTCAGGAAACCCAGGATGCAGGAACGATGCAACACCTTGGACCATTGGGCGTCAAAACTGAAATCATCTGAGCAATGGCAGCGGCGGTGACTATGCGCAGCCGACACCAACAGCAAGGATGCAAGGATTCAGCGTGAGGACGCAACGCCAGTAAACGCAAACATTAACCTTATCGAAGCCATACCCAGGGAAGCTCAAATGAATCGAGCACTGCGTTGACTACCGTGGGGAGCTTTCGTGCGTGTGATTCCCTGCAATGCAACACAACGCATGCCGAGCACATGGCCCCAGGAGGTTGCGACGACAACGACGCCTGGGCAGCATTGGGCCGACGCCATTACCGAATGCGAATTCGCCTGTGCCTACATTGTTTGCTTACACAGAACGAACGTGAATGGCGGATGGGGATGTATAAAATATACTAATGTATAACAACACTGTCTGTCTTCCAAACCCAAGGGTGATGTTAGTTTCACCTCAGAGCATAGCAAACGTAGCCTGGTGAATCAGAACTGTGCTAGCTGCAGTGCACTGCCCCACCAAAGCGCACTGACGGCTTTCGCCCAAGAAAACAAGACAACGTATCAGCCCACTACGATCTAGCTCTTGCGAGCTTTCTTCTTGGGCTTGACGGCGGCAGGGCTCGCGCTGGCATCTGGGCCAGCAGCTCCGGATGGTCCCGAACCGTCACCCTCCTTTGAGGGCTGGCCCGAGCCAAGCGAGAGGGCAGCCTCCACGCGGTCCTTCAAGTCCTGGCCCCACACGTCAGGCTCCTTGTCCTTCATGAACTCGACGTAGACGCTGTTCAAGCTGCTGCGCACCTTGTCCCCGGCCTTGTCCTTAGCACTGATGTGCTTGCTCTTCAGCAGCGTCTCGCAACCCCAAATCACGGTGAGACCTGTGGCCTTGGTCGCGATCGTCCGAGCGGGCGCCGCATGTGGAACGCTTGCATCCTTCACCACCCCCAGGTTGTCGACCATGACGTCTACATCGTGAAGCTGTTCGTCGATCTTGGCTGCGGTTGACTTCACCTGCTTGGCTTCGTCCGAGGTCGACTCCGCACCAAACCCCTGAATGTCCCTCTCCAGCTGCGTCGCCAACTTCGACAAATGCTGATCTAACGCTTTACACTGACTGTCAATGCGCTCATGCATCTGCTTATGCGCCATCTTCACAAACTGGGCGATCGGTGAGGAGTACTTCTCGCCAATGTAGTTCTGGAGCGTTAAGACCGCAGAGCCCCCAGCATCATTCAGCTGATTGCAAGAGTCCCAGGCAACCTTGAACGAAGCATCGTCGTACTTGAGGTTATTGTCCAGCGCTGTGTGGAGATCGGCCTGCATGCAGACCTGCACCCAGTTGTTCAGGTAGCCCATGGCAACTCTGAACGCTTCCTTCTCCGGAATCCACTTGGCCATCTTCATCAGGTTGGAGTGCAACGGGGCGAAACCAGACAACGTCGCCCTGGCTTTCGACGACGTTTCAGCTAGCAAGGCGTCTGGCAAGCCTGTCTCGAGTAAGCCCTTCATCTCCTTCAGCAAGTCCTCGATCTGGGGCTTCACGACTTCGCTGATGTCGCAGTTCCTCTTGACGATCTCGGCAGCCTCATTCGCGTGCTTGAGCAACGACGGTTCAAGCTTCAAGTTGCTGATCATCGAGTCTATCTCAGCGAACATGGTCACCAAGCCCTGGATGTTTGGTTTCGAGTCCGAGTAAGCAAAAACAACCTTTCTGAAGACCTTCCACACATTGTCAACGGCGTGGGCCGCATTGAAGATCGCCCGAGAAGAACCAGCTGGAGTCGCTAAGTCAAGCTTCTTCTTCGACAACTTCTGGATCAGGGGCGGCTTCGCGAGCGAATGGAACTCGACCATCTGGAGCTTCTGATGGGCGTGCTGGAGCTGAACGAGGGCCGGTGACTTCTCGAAATTCTGGGCGTCAAAAAGGGTGGCAGCAACGCTCGGCAAAGTCGTCATCGTGGTAGCCAGAGACTGCTGCATGCTTTTCTCGAGCCGCTCGATAAGCGTCATGAAGGCCTGCAGGTCCTGATCGGTAGAAGCCTCTTTGACGATCTCTTCCACTGCGCGGAAGAGTGCGGCTCGCACGGTCTCCACGTCCTGCGAGCTCAGCGACTCTTGCCTTTGCGCCGCATCAAGCTTGGAGACTGCCTGGGACAATGCGCTCCCCGATTCTGAAGCGCGCCTGGCCGAAGCTGCCTTCTCGCACCAGGACTTCAGGTTCTCGAACTGCGACAGCACGAACGCGCTCGCTAGCACGCCAGCGTACCCCGAGTCCAAGCGCAACCCATTCAAGCGCTGAGTAGCCTTCTCCTGCTCGTCGCTGGTGACCTCGTCGGTGGAGGCGCCAGTCGCATTGAGGAGAGTGGCGATTTCTTCCTGCGCAGCCGGCGCGAGAGCATCATCTCGGACCCCGATCTGGAGCAGCGCCTGTGGGCAACAGAAACGGAGGGGGATGGCCGTTTGCCCTGGGCCATCCTCGGCCCACGGAAGGACAACCTGCGACGCCCTCGCGAGGGTCGTGGCCCTGAGGGCGGGGCCCCAGTAGGAGCCCCGCCTTGCTCTGACCGATGGCCTGCAAGATGGCCCGCAGAGACGCCCCAGACCCCCTCAAGAACTCCAAGAGGGGGGGCCCAAAGAACGCCCCGTTAGAAGCCCAAAAGAGCCTACGGGATCCCAAAACAACTGCCCAGACACTTCCAACGCATCTCCAAACAGACCCCAGGATAGCTCCAAGACGTTTCCAAGGGTAAGCAGGTATACAATCCACGAAGGGTAGGTTGGGCTGGTGGCTGGTGTGGAATCGCGAAGCGTATGCCATTTTGCTGTGCGGCCTGCAGCTTGTTCACTGCCGCGGCGTCTGTCTCCTTCTTCACGCCAGTGACGTTGAGGACGCGCTTCTGGATGCAGATCTCCATGACATGGGCATTGAACTGGCAGCGATGTTCATGATCATCCAGCAGAGGACTGGAGGTGGTCAGGATAGAGCCAATGTCCTCGTACTTGTGGTAGCGCAACAGGTCGTCCACAGCGTGCTTCGTTTTCCTGAGAATCAACGCGATCGGCAAGCTGAAGTCAAAACGAGAGCAACTTACCTCAAGCGCATCGACCTTCGAGATGTCTGGCTTCGGTTTCACCAACTCCGCGAGCACAGCTGACATGGTGCGCGTGTTCGCCCGCAGCTTGCGCACCGTATCTAACGCCTCTGGAGGCGTGCTGCCTCGATTCGTCATCTTCCTGTCGATGTTGCCCAGATCCTTGACGATCTTATCAAGGGATTTCGTCACCTCGGTCAGCGCCTTATCCACGGCTGCAGTCGTCGAATGGTTCATCACCTTGCTGTCAAAGGGCTCCGACACCAGCTTCGTGCTCATAATCTCGTTCACTTGGTCCTTCGTCTTGAAGTAGCCCTCGTACGTCAACAGGCCGTCGACGTTGGTGGGGATGCGCGCAGCCTTGCCCTTGCCCTTGCTAACCTTTGTAGGTGGTGGGCTTGCCGCTGGCTCTGGTTGCTCGTCGTCGTGCTTCTCCGGGCTGCGCTTCAACGAACCAGCTGTTTGCTTTTGTTTTTGCACTGTGGGCGCGGCGGCCTTGCGCTTGCTCTCTGCCTTTGGCGCTGGCTTGAAGACGCTGCCGAGTAATGAGCCAGCCAGCACCCCCTGCACATCATCGTCGGAGTCATCGGAGTCCTCGGCGTCCTCGCCATCACCATCGCCGCCTCCGTTTCCCCCAGCCTCGGGACGGCTGCCGCCAGAAGGCGTCGGCGGTTCTGGTAGCGCTTGGAGTTGTGGTTGGGCCAACTGCTTCATGTCAGCGCCAGAGGCTGCAAACTCTGAGGCTGCGCCCACCAATGCACCAAATTTGTCTTCCTCTTGTCCCTCGCGCAAGCGTTCCTTACCTGAATCGTGCTCCTCGCGCATGACTGCGCGGATATCTGTGTCCACTTCGACGTCGTACTCCCCGTCTGGCAACTTGCGAAGTAGCACGCACATGGTGAGGCCCTTATGCGGTAAATTAACTTCCTTCAGGACATGTCCATCCTCCTTCGGGTTCGATCCTGGGTGTCTTTTCATCCACGTAACCAAGTCCACAGCCCTGAACTTCTCCATAACCCGGGTGCCGCCAGATTTCAGGACCTCCACTGCTTTTATGCGAGCTTCCGTGATGTTCGAGAGGATCTGCGTTCTCTTTGCGCCCCTCAACTTTGCTCCGATTTTCCCAGCGTTGATAAGTTGAATCAACCTTTCAAGGACTGCGATCCACTCGCCCGTCAAGGTATTGTCGGTGTTCTTCTTCATCTCTTCCAGGAGCTTCTCTAGATTGGCAAACTTCGTGGCGAAGCCCCCCAGTGCGAACGCCCAGAAACACAGCCTGCAGATCAGTCCAACTGGCCGCTCCAATGTGCCTTTGAGCCACGGCCAAGCTGGATTCTTTTCGCTCCGTTTGAACGGCCCCCTGACCAAAGGATTCAATTCATTACTCGAGTGCTTGCAGCACTTGCAAGTCATGACGCGCAGGAATGTGATAGTCGAGAGGAATTGATCGGTGATGGCCTCAGAGCACGTGGCTGCATCATCGCCTGCGTCAGTAGCCCCATCATGCACGTCGTCACCGCCGCTGCTGGTGACTAAGTCATCGAGTTCGCACGGCAGGCACTCCATTGCCCCCGAGAAGGGCGAGAACGTCAAGAATTCAAAGGACCTGCGCAGACAATCTTGAGCCGCGCAGGCTGGGGCAATGCAAGACAGACCCATGGCTGACTCAGGCCCCCACGGGGCCATCTCGGGCCTCTCGCGCGGCCATCTCGGGGCCTTCGGGCACGGGTGTCCAACGCTGCCCCGACGAGGTCGAAGATGGCCCCGCGAGGGGCTCAACAGGTACCCCGAGGAAGCTCGCTAGGTACCCCCATGATTCGCGATATTACATGTTTGTTAACGGGCTTTCTTAGTGTGCGTGTAGATAGGGCCGTGAACAACCCAAAATCGAGCGTCAAAATTTTTTTTAAAAAATCGAGCGTCAAAATTTTTAGAAATATTGACGCTGGTTTTTGGACCAGAATCCCCCCCCTCGGGGCTCGGGGTGGGGTTCTTGCGCCAGCGACAGGCACGTGCACACTTTTCCTATGCACTACCAGCTTTCAGACGCATGACATTGCCTCGAGGTCGAGTTGTTGTTGGCTCCTCCTGCTTCCCCTCACCTTCCCCTTCCCCCTTCTCCTCCGCCGCTCGTCTTCCCCCTGTCCTCCTCCTCCTTCTCCGCCTCGCTGTTCTCGTGCCCCCCCCCCCCCCCAGGGCCTCCGCACCCCCTGGCCCCCCCCGCCCCCGGCGTTCCCGGGACGGACCACCCTGCACTCATGACGGGCCGTGCCGTTCTCATGGCGGGCCCGGCGGTCTCCTGACGAGCCCCTGTTCCCGCGGCGGAATTCTTTATGCCAGAGGGGGGGGGGGACTTAGCGCGCGCGGCCCAGCCGTCTACTTGAAATGCATCACGCAGGTTTCGATATCATCGATATAAGCGCTCATATACTGTATAATATACTTATATCATAGTATTAATTGCCGACCATATTATATACACTGGCGCATAATGATAGATCTGGCCGTTTAAATCACAACCATCTAAAAGGACCGCTGAGAGAATCACGAGGGCCCTGAGACAATCACCACCACCCCTGAGAGAGTCACGAGGGGCCTGAGACAATCACGTGTCTAATTAAAGAGCATGATATTCATTTTTGATAATTAGATGTATATTAATATTATATTATGATAACTAATGTGATTAGTTACATGAGCTATCATTGATATTGATCAATATCTGATTGATATGACGCACTCATCATCAATATCAAAGGCTGAGTTGATAGTGAGATCACGGCTGTGCCAAATGGGGAGGGGGGAATGAAGAGCACTGGGGGGGGGGGGGGGGGGGGGGGCGCCGCTAACGGGCTCAACAGGTACCCCGAGGTGGATTAGGGTTAGGGTTTAGGGGTTGGGCCAGGGTTGGGGGTCTGAGGAGGAGGAGGAGGGTGAGCGGCCCTCGCCGTTCAGGGACTTCGGCTGTTCGCCTGAGGAACCCCGGTGTTCTCACGAGAGGCCTCTCCCGCCGCTAACGGCCGCTCGCGCATCCTTCGATCAACCCAAGACCTCCGGGCACATCCCCCCCTCCCCCCACGCTGCTCAGACGAGGGCTGGTCTTGCAAAAGCAAACTGGCCTCTGAAGAGAACTCTGCCCGCGCCCGCCAACTTCCAGCGGGGGCTCCGTCAGGCGAGCCCCTGCGGACACTAGCCAGAGGACACGAGCGCAGAGGCACGAGCATGACCTAGAGCAGCAACGCTCGCTGGAACAGCAGGGGGAAGGCCAAGGCACTGGCAGGATCAGGGAGGAGGAAAAGGAGGTGGAGGAGGAGGCGGAAGAGGAGGACGAGGGGGGAGGAGGAGGGGGTGAGAAGGAGGAGGAGGAGGAGTGGATGAGGAGGATGACATGGAGGACAGGGGGGAAGGAGGAGGTGGAGGAGGAGGAGGAGGAGAGTGAGGAGGAGGAGAAGGAGGAGGAAGGGGATGAACAATACTGATGATGATGATGATGATGCTGCTGCTGATGATGATGATGATGATGCGCTGGCACCTCGGCTGCCCAACCTCCGATTGAACCGCATTCACTGGAGTCGCATGGCACAGACGAGCGACCGCTGGCGGCATGCAGCAGCCGTTGGCATCGTTGGGATGACCAACGCAGAGTCTGAGCATCGACGGAAGCATGTAGCAGCCGTCTCACACGCGATGGACGCCGTTCCCCAGAGTTCAAACACGAGCACACAGCCCGCATACTCCTAGTCCGATTCACTCTCGCTTTGGTCCACGGTGATGGTAGGGTAATTATCCATGTGCTCAAACTCGTCTAACCCCCACGTGAGCATCAGCCGCTGGAACTCGATGAAAGGCATCCACCTGTCGAGAGAGATCTCGTTCGCAATGTATGTGGTCTGCTGCGTCTCTGTGTCGCCGTCGCCTGACATGAAGCCACGAACGCGCCACACCTTCTGAGACCCCCAGCCCGGCTGCTGGCCGAGCAACTCGGCGTCGGCCTCGAAAGCCACGCCTGAAGCCAGAACGTCGAACAGGCCAGAAGGAGTGATGAAGTGAAACACATTGTCGTCTTTATTGTTCGGGCCAGTCACCACTCCGAAGAACTCAAAACTCGAATCATCCAGCGTGCGCTCGGTCATCTCGGGATCGGCCAGTGCCGCCTCGGCGCTGCGTTTCACGCCTGGCATTGCCGCTGATGGCGTAACTGGTCTGGCACAACGGATCCGACAAGAGTGGAATAATCTGTGGCGGACTGTTTGAGCCAAGATGGCTACGGAACGCTCATTCGAAGACTGTCAGTTCAGACCGTGCGTCTGCGATTTGTTGGGCACGGTCGTCTTCTCAACACGCTCGGGCTCTAGTTTACTTGGACGGCCTAGCCTGACGCGGAGCCTTGCCCCTCAATCACCCACGGTGTGTCATCGAGACCCTGAGTTGACCTCTCTGGAGCCTACGCAGGGCCCGCCCTAGGGCCTCTGGTCGATGCTCAGTCACGTCACGGAACAGGAAGCGATGGCTGAGGTATGTTGAGTTTGATGCTGTTTGGTGTTGCTGTTGATCCGCAGATGATACAGATGATTTGAGGATTATGTCGCTTGTGCTGCTTGTTGTTGGTCGTTGCCATTGCTGTGTTGACACTGCGATCATTCGTTGCCATATGCTGCTACTGTTCGTTGCCTTATGCTGCTGATCGCTGTTGTGCTTGTTGTTGGTCGTTGCCTTATGCTGTGCTGCTGACTGTTGTTCGTTGCCTTGTGCTGCTGCTGCTGCTGCTGATGGTGCGTCACTTGTGTTGCATGCTGCATGCGGAATGCTGATGATGGCCCCGATACTTCTGATGGCCCACTGGAGGACGCAAAGGGCGATCGAATGTTCAAGGGTCCCGGATGCTGCGCAACAGTCCCGATTGGTCTCGATTGAACCGGTCATCTGAAATCCCGAAACATCCTAAGGTGCTCAGCTTTACCTGTAGGTCCGTATGGAAGGTCTATACCTGCCTGGAACCAAGCACACAAGGACGGCACAGACGCTGACTTGTCTACAGTGCGCAAAGGTGGCTTGCATTGGTGCAAGCGGCAGTACACGGACACGCACTCCTTCTTCGTTCCAACGTGCATGGGCTTAATGCGCCCGATGGTTCTGCCTTCTGGGTCAGTTACATTTTTTGTATCCGCATTCCACTTGGGCAACTCAGCTTCAGCAAGCAAAGCAGGCAATTCTGGGTCAACCTCACCAGCGGGCGGATCGATGGCGCCCCCTCCAGCCATGGCGTCATCCGGCAACGGGCCAGGGCCAGGAACAGGAGCAACACCACCATCTGGGGCAAGTGGGGGTGGCTCAGGTGGAGCTGGCTGTGGAGGTGGGTCGTCGCCTGCAGGTGGATCATCTCCAGGTCCTTCGCTGTCGTCGTTGCTACCTTCTTCCCCATCGCAGACGTCGTCGTCGCCGGCATCTCCAGCGCCGCCACATAGTTTAGCTGGCGCATCCTTCGGACCTGGACCTGCTCCTTTTGCACGCTTGGTGTTTTTGCCCTTGGCCGCAACTGGCTTATGAGCGAAGACACTGTCCACGATGCTGTCATCGGTTTTCTCTTTGTTGCGGCTCTTTCGCTCCCAAAGTCTGGCCGTGATGTCTTCGATTGACTCAACTACCACGACGTCCAATCGGATGAAGCGGTAAGCCACCTGCAGCACGTCAAACCCTGCGTCTCCATGAAGCCCAGCCAACTCCAAAGTAAATTTGCACAGCCGCGTGTACTGAGAGGCACCCCCATCCAATAAAATCTTCACGTTCGCACATGGCCCCAGATCACGATCTGACTCGCAACGCGCAAAGGTGGGCATGACAGGCTGCTTCAGCCTGTTCACCAACATGACCAAAACACCGTCGCGGACGTCTGCGGCACGAGGGTAAATCATAATAAGAGGATGGAAGGCGAAACAGTGCCCAGGGCACACCATGTGGTAATCGAACAGCGCGACGCGACACAACAACTGCGAGCACTTGCGAAACCTCTCCTTGAAGTCATCCGCCAACTGCGCGGCGCAAACTCCAAGCCCGTACTTGCGACAACAAGCGTCGTCATTGGGCTGCGCAGGTAAGACCAGCGTCGTGTATATCTCATCCTGAGTCATGGCCTCCCATTCGTCACTCAAGCTCTTGACAGAATATCTCATGCCCTCAATGAACTCCTCTGTCAGAGGAACTGCGTCGTCCCCCAGACCGAACGGAGTTCGCTCACGCGGCACACTTGGCTGCGCTGGCGGCCTGACTCGCCTAGCTCGAACTGGAGGCACATGAGGGATCTCTTGTTCCGCCACCGCCCTCTGCTGCTCCAAGGACATCTCACCCCACTCGTCAGACAGCGCACGCATGCTGACACCTGGATTACCGAGGCGGCGAATGATAACAAATCGCCGCCAGCAGTGGGTCACGTCACCGAGGGAGCCAGCAGTGGCGCCCGGTGCTGCAACTTCGAAGTGGTCTCGGCGATATTGCTCACATGCAACTTGATACATTGATTTCAGCTCTGCCAGTGCGTGATTGCTCGCTAGCGACGGCGTCGACAACGG